CCCTAAAATTGCAAGGACATTATAAGAGAACTCACCTACTGGATTTAGCCAAGTGTCATTAACAGCAATTGGCTCATTTACTTAAAAAAGACACTGTGCTCTGGGTTTTGGGTTTTTTTTTTTCTTTTCATTGTCAGTATTTTTACCTCCTTTTGTTTTGCAAAAGTTTGCTAAAATATCCCACTAGAGGGGAAATCAACTGTTTACTTTTTACTCCATAATTCAATCAGTGCAAACTTTAGTCAACATCAGAACACAATGAACCAGCACTTCAGATAAAGTTGCTAAATAACAACTGATTAAATTGCTGATTTTGCTGACTTGCTGAAGAGTCAGACCAAGCTATAAAACTGAGGAAAGACAAGGCAAAACTGCCCTTAAAGGGTCTTTTAAATGCAAAAATATTATTTACAACAATATTATTCACAAACAGAAAAATAATTGTTAATACTTTGCAAACACAAAGATATTCATTCAGCCTGCAAAAGATTAGTTAAAACAAGACAATATAAATCAACATGGTTCTTCAAACAAAGTCATAAAGAATCTGTAACAAGTTTCAGCAACTTATATAGGACATTTAGCCTGGCACACACATGAGAATATAGCATTATTAAAGGTGTACCTAACTCAGCTTTTAGGAACATAAAATGATATTTAATTATACAAGTGTCTTCCCACCATCCCAGTCCCCAGTGCATGGCTTCATTCAGTGCTTTGAAGAGAAGGTTCTGTAGACAAGACAGTCTTTCACAGAATCGCAGATTATTAGGAGTTGGAAGGGACCTCGAGAGATCATCCAGTCCAAACCCCCTGCTAGAGCAGGATCAGCTAGAAAAGGTTGCACAGGAACATGTCCAGGTGGGTTTTGAATGTCTCCAGAGAAGGAGACTCCACAGCCTCTGTGGGCAACCTGTTCCAGTGCTCCATAACCCTTACAAGTAAAAAAGTTTTTCCTCATGTTCAGATTGAACCTCCTATGCTCCAGCTTGTTCCCATTGCCCCTTGTCCTGTCATTACCTATCACTGAGAAGTGCCTGGCTTCTTCCTCCTGACACTTGCCCTTTACAAATTTATAAACATTAATGAGGTCACCCCTCAGTCTCCTCATCTCCAAGCTGAAGAGACTCTTTCTAGCGAAGAGTTCCATAACCTGGTTTAGTAAAGAGAACCATTGCCTTGTTAACAGAAGTTATTCTGGGTATATTTTTAATGGTGACAACATCCTCCAGCTGTCCCTTCCTATTTTAAAATAGCTGAGTGTTATAAAAAGTTATTCAAAGGAAAACAAACTCCTACAATGTAAATATTGCACTAGATAACTCCTATAGTCAGAAATGCAAGAAAACAGGCAATTGAGACGACGCAGTTCAGATGTGAAATGACAGTCACATTCCAGCTTATTTATCACAACACAAGACCCAACATCTTGACTTAAGCTCATTAATCTGACTGACAGAGGTCATAGCAGCAGGGTTGGAACTAGATGATCTTCAAGGTCTCTTCCAATCCAAAGCATTCTATGATTCTATGATATGGTGCCTTTAGGTCAAGGACAGTCAGGGCTAAGCAAAAGAAGGGAGGACACAGCTGGAACGTAACTATTCACTTCACTCCTCTTTCTAAAAAGCTTACAGTGACACACACAGGGAATCACAGAATCACAGAACGTTAGGG